ATATAAAATAAATAAAATTTTTATTTAAATTTATATTTCATGATATTCTAAGTGAAGCCATAATTAAAGCAATTACAAAATAATTAACAACAAATTATTTTATAGCAAAACTTTGAATAGAATAAATTTTGTATGTTGTAACTAAAATTGTGAAATCATAAAAACTGACATAAAAACAAATCTAATGAATGATGGCATTTTGTTAAATAATTTTATAAAATTGTGTGTTTAAAACCATAAAACACAACACTGAAAATTTTAAAATTCAAACAAAAATTTGTGGCAACCAACACAAAAATTGTGTGTTCTCCATTATTTTCGAGAAGAGTTAAGGCGGTAAAAATTTCATCAAAAAACAGCAGAGAAGCAATATTCGACATAGAAAAAACATTATGAATAAAAAGAAATATAGACATTTACAGAGTATAAATTTTAATACACTACTAGCGCTATCTACAATTTTCCGGCGCTGGACTGACACCACGGGGCCAGTCTTATCACCACAAACAACGTTGGACAGCATCAGTTTGTTGATTGTTGACGTTGAAAAACAACGTTTTTAGCTCGTCAGAAGCGCATTTTAGTTTGTGATTAACTGCGACTTTTATTTGAATTCACAAGTGAAACTTGTGCACTCTGCACTCCAACATATTTCATATTTGTGCTCATTGTTTTTGGTTCTAAGCCACAAAAATAAGTTACAAAATAAGAGTAAGCCAAATTGAAATTTGTCAACTGTAGTAACATTGACTGGTTCCCAAGCTCTGCTACATATAACCCAAAGTACTCTAGTGGTGTTTGTGAAGTTAAGCAAAAAATAATACAAAAATAAGAAATTCAACAACAATGTTTACTCAGCTGTGGATTTGTCATCATCAACGTTTCCAGTTTTTGTTTCCACTACTGCAGTTGTTTTTAAAACTTTTTATTCTCCTCGCAATTTGTGGAAATTTACCACAAAATGTTAGCGGTCAAATTGCCTACAAAGGCCATCTTTCAGATTTACGCATAAAAGAACTGGACGCTATGGCAAAAAACTTGAACGAGTCCATTAATCTTAGCAAATATCCATGCGAGAGCTACTTTGATTACGTTTGCAGTCGCAATAGGCCACTCTATTCCATATTGGGTAAGTCAAGCTGTCAAGCAGCAATAGTTCACATTGGTCCCATATTGGCATTTACATGATAAATTCTAACTTTCAAAAAGAAACAGTGAGTTGAGTAACAAGAAAATAAAGACAATTAACTAATTGCATCAATTCTTATAAGAAAATAGTTTAGAATAAACATCGGAAAAAATATTTTCAAATAAAAAAATTTTTCAGTGACTAATAATATAAATTTTTTGAAATTTTTAATACGAAAGAAGAAGATAACATTACTCCATTTACCGGGTACGCACATTTGATAATAGATTTTAATAAAGACAGCTATAAGCAGCTACTTTTTCACTACGCTTTAGGTCAACATAACATAGCTTAGTGATAGCTTAGATATCCGGTTTTGAGGTAAAACATTTTTATATAAAAACTGTGATTAACAAGATAATTCTGACTAATTGCTTGTTACCCGATGTTTATGAAATCAAATATAATATATATACAAATATAATATAATATAATCAAATATAATCCATGTAAAATTTTTAGTAAGTTTAACCTCGATATGTAGAGCAGATAACTTTAGTGGTATATTGACGTATGGCACAGTGAAAGAGTTCGTCTAGATAACTGCCTCTTTCTGATCTCTTTCAGTTACGTCGCAAGTCGGTGTAACCGGAAAAATGAAATCATGAATGGATGAAATAATTCTGACTTTGCTGATGGCAAAATACCAATTTAAAAAGATTCTTTAAAGTTGATCTACGACTATCAGCTGTTTAAAGTTTTTTATGGTATTTGTTAAAGTTTAATGAGACAGGTATGCTTACGTACTTTATTACTATACGTATGTTTCTCTTCGATCTGTTACTTTTTACGGCAACTACATAAAGCAAAAGTTAAACCGTTCAGAATCATATATCACACTTACTACTCACTGAATTTTAAGTGAATACATATACTTATCAATAAAAACTTACAAAAAATTAATAGTTCCAATAAATTACCTAATTTAACAATTTCAAAATTGGTTGACTATAATGAATATTGATAGTGATAGGATTTGGTTATCGAAAAACCATTCAGGATCTTTTCCCAAAACGCACAAACGAAACCTATATTTGTTCTGCTCCATAATTGAGGACTATTTATTCGATTATCATAAGGATAATTGAATGTGACTAGATTAACTTATCTTATCAAACCGATAAAAGACTTAATAGGATAGATCTTTTAAGCTTCATATGGTCCCTAATAATTTCTAGTACAACTTAATTCACAACTTAATCTACTTTTTTGTGTGCTGACACAGTATAAATATAACATTTATTTTCATAGTTTTCATTATAATAAAACTATATCATAGTTGAAGGAATAAACAAATATTGGCCATTTAAAAAACTGACAGAACGCTTTTAATGTAACCAGAAACGAACGGCGGGTGTCCCACAGATTCATGAAATTAAAATTATATCCAATATCTTTTGGTTAATATACTGTCATTCAGAAGAAAAACATAATTCATCATTTTTGTTTGTAAAGTCTATTATACTGTGATTATAAATAAAGCTCAACATATCAGTTTCTTTTGCCTAGGACTAGAAATATGTTTAGTGTTCTGTCTTAGTAACTTGTTAAACTTGACAAAACGATGGCGTAAAAATGAACGTAGAGCATGAAATATCATACAATGAATAAATAATTGCACCTAGTTACTGATTATATCTCATTTACTTAAAACTTTACAACAGAAAACTCAAACATTTTCATATAATAACTAACCAAAATATTTATAATAACAAGTTAAACACTTTTTAAAATTTTTTCATTTTAGGTCGCACGCCAGATATAGAAGATTTGATGAAACTTTTTCAAGAACTACAAGAAGACAGTGTACCGTTTGCAGCTAAACAAAAACTTATAGACTTTTTTATATCATGCAATATGCGTAAAGGCCTTGAGGAATGCTATCGACAATCTTTTGAATATTTTATACCAATATTTGGATATATAATTTCAAAGAATCATCTTGATGGGAGTGCACATGAGCATAGCAATTTCTTAGAGATACTGCAACGTTTCTATAGGAGAGCGCAACGTACCGAGAACTTTGCACAAAATCCCATTCTTTTGAAATTAGGAGTACTAACTCAAAGTTTTACAACAGCTAATACATATTTTCGTATTGAAGATCTTAATCACGAGTATCGCGATCTACGTATATATCGTGATGGTTTTGAGTATAATGTAAAAAACTTAGAACAACATCTAAAACGAAATTCCACCTATGAGTTTGGAATGCAACGTACAATGCTTGATTGGAGTTTATATGTTTATCAGAGCCGTAATAAACCCATGTCTTATTATTTTCCAACATTCAATGTACACCTATGGATGACACTGTATAATAACACAGAACGGTTTCGTGAACTAAAAACTTTGAATAAAATTGCCGAATGCCTTAAGTTGCCACAGTTTGTAAATGTATTGGAAGAAGCGCGTATATTAGCTATAGTTTACTTGAAAAGTATTCGCAATGCTTGGCAGGAATATAGTGACTGGATTTCGTCTTCCCCGGTGCATCAAGAAGTTTTTGATCAGGAGAATGTAATATTGAAACCGTATAATTTAACCAACAAACATATATTTTTTACGCTTTATGCACAAAACTTCTGTGAATTCGGTAAGGAACTGGCGGAGAGTGTTTTTTACTTGGGCATCAAACAGAACCAAGATTTCGGGGAAACTTACTCCTGTGGATATCAAACAGAAAGGACCGAACATTGTGTATACTGAGTTTATTATTATGTACAATGTCATGTATCGATACAAAATGTGTAATCAAAAAATTAACTTCATTTGAGTGTTTAAATTTTATTTAATACATTTTAATAACCGAATTTAAGTAATTATTTTTTTATTTTTTATTATTTTTAAAATATTCTTTAGCAATTTCATTATTATATAGTCGCGCCAAATCCACACATGTTTGACCAAACATATCACGTGTATTCATATCTGCGCCACTGGTAACCAACAATTTAAGGACATTCAAGTTGGCCTCCATAACCACTACGCGTTGGTGGATCGAATTGAGAATAATATATATAGACGTACAGGCATATAAGTGAATTAAAATAGCATTTTAAATTTCCTAGTATGTGTGAAATTTACCTGCACGCATAAGCAATGTCCAACCACTTGCATCTTTCGCTTCCAGATTTGCGCCATTATCAAGTGCAAATTTAAGCATTTCATACTGATTTGCATCCACTGCGAAATGGCATGCAGTCATACCGTCGGCATCTGTGCCATTTAGATCAGCTCCCATATTAAGCAGCATACGAGCCGCGGCCAGATTTCCATGATAAAAGGTCAACTGCAACGGAAATGTATTTTTATGTAAAAATATTTCATTCGATGATAGCGTACGAATATTTTGCATTTCGTAGCCTCGGATACACACATGCAAAGGAGTTCTGCCATTTTGTACATTGCCGATTCGTATATTTGCGCCTGCCGTTACCAATATATCGATTATGCACATTTCACCGTATATAATCGCATTTGCCAATGGCAAATAATCGTTCGGACCGGGTAATTCAATAAGTTTGGGTCTACACTGCAATATACGTTTCACTAAAAATCGTTCGCCCTTTTTTATGGCACGATGCAAGGATAAAGTTGAAGGTAATGCAGTTAAAGTGCAGGCCTGCACAAAATTTTCATTTTATTTGCTAAGCAAATTTTTCAGAATATTTAAATTTAGTTAAGTTTTTTTTCAATATTTTACCACTAATTCCTCAGTTTTTTTAAACTCCTCATATCTTCCCAACTCCTTGTTGAGCTTAAGTGCTTTCGCTCGAAATTTAAAGGCAAAATTTTCAGGTAAATGTTTTACCGTCGCTGAGCACTGACCAGTCCTTAGTGAATATATTAATATATCCACAGCAAAGTTTTAATTTAATAATTTTTTAAAGTCTTAAATTCAATAAGATATTTAATGTTTTTTTAACTTAAACTCTAGGTATCCTTAAGATTTTCAGAGATTGATTCCTTACTTTATTTTTACTCTAACCTTTTATCTATTGATAAAAATGTTGTAATTTTTTTTAAATTTAAATTTTTTTCTGTTCAAAAACTAAATTTAATTAATTGTAATAAAGCTTTCTTGTTAACAGAAATTTTTACTCAAATGGTGTTATTTTTGGAACCGGTCCATTGTGATAAAATTTTTAAAAATTTAAAAATTTTAAAATTTTAGAAAACTACTTTTAATTAGATAAATGTATTACAATTATTGATAAAATTTAGTTTTGCATTTAAAAGTTCTAAAATTATATAGAACAGACTTAAAAATTAAAAAATTTATTTTAATGAAAAAAAGATTAAAGTATAAACATATGAAATTATTATATATAACACCATTTAAGTTACAATTTTATACATAATTTTTATTTTAATATTTAGTGCTACTATAAATTTAATAACATTAATAAATTATTCTTTATTTTCATAGTACCACCTACGCAAATCAATAAAAAATACTGTCTTAAAAAAAAAATAAATGAAATCCGAAAGTAATGTTTTGTATATGAAATATTTTCAGAATTAATAAATATAATATCATAAGAAAATATTATAAATAAAACAAAAGAAAAAAACTTTGAAATAATTCATTGAATCACACACAATCCTTTATTTTATTCACTTCAAAGTTATGGTGTCCTGTTTTGCTTACCAGGCAACTTCGTGCCAACCTCTGACTCTGTGATGTTGTTCAACTTGATAGACATCAGCCGACTTAATTAAGTCCCAAGATATGGTAATGCTAGTGTCCGTTCGTTTTTCCACTTTCAATTTCCAATCATCTGCGTTCACATTTTTGACATCACCATCTGGTGTTGAGCTATTGCACATATCCTCACTATTATCAGAATTTTCAACGGATTTTTGCATATTGCTTATCCTTAACTCCTTTTTTTCTTTGTATGTTTGGTGTTATGTCCTTTTGGCAGACATCAAAAGTTTGATATTTCTATCTTGTTTTCAGCGGCGTCTTTTCGATTGCTAGCTCACGTATTGAAAGACAATTTCTGACTGCAGTCAATCAAGTCAGTTATTAACTTAACTGTTACGCTATAATTGGCAATTAAACCCAAAAACATTTTGTACGTTTATCTATTCACAGCGGTATTTTTTACAAAAAAATTGATTTGAAGTACGTAATAACTTACTACAATTCAACCACTTACTTTAAAAGTAAGAAGAATAATAATATTGAATAATTCAGTGATTCTATTTGTATAAGTAGTCTGAAAATTGAAACACCGAATATGTAGCACTTACCTTAAATGCTCATACAAAGTCCAATATGCTAACTTAATTTTTAAACTAAGCAACGAAAGTTTAATCAATAAATAAATTTTTATTCTAAAATTTCGCAGAACTACAACAGCTTAAGGAGTAGACCTAAACATTATAATAATACTAGCAAAAGCACATTCAAGAATGACTTACGTTTTAATTACTCTACAATCCTGTTATTATATATTAACAAAATTCAAACAAAAAATATTAAAAACATAAACCAAAATTTGTAGTATTACTTAAAATACCAATAGCTAGAATACGTGTGCTTATCCCAAATGTTACTATAGGCTGTGGCACTGTAACCGTGTATTCTATTGTGCCCCCTTCTACCATAAGTATGTACAGTATGTCTCTTAACCCTGTTGTTTCAATAAAAAGTAGTATAGAACCTACTTTACACATTTTTATTGCCTTTTTCACAAGGATACACATTTCCAGGAGTCTATTTCGTATGTGCAATAACGCAGGGCATTCGAGCAACACATGTGTGGAGACTCTTCATTTTCTTCGCAGAATCTACCGTTTATATCCGTAAATATGCCCAGTCTCGTTAGGTGGTGATATATGCATTTTAGTTTACAGTGTCCTGTTAAGATTCCTGTGATGATTTTAACTTTTACATATGATAAATCCATACAATCCTGGTATCTCTTATTGTTATGGGCACCAATCGCAATAATGGATACCAAAACAATTTCTTTTTGGGACCAACGTTACAAGTAGTTTGTGGAACATGTACCTTTAATTGGGGCATTCAGTACAACCGGGTGTATACATACCTACATAAAAACATAAGAGATATTCTTCTCTGTGTATTTTTTTAATTTGTAACGTTGTTAACATTTTTTATGTATACACCTGGGAGTGTGGAGAATATATATAAATTTCTGGTTGTTAAACCGAATGTTAAATAAAAATACCATAATCCAAAAACAATGTTATAAAGGCGAAGAACGAAGATGAAGAACTCTTCTATTTTATTATGCTCGACGTATATTCATTTTAGTAAATATTTTTAACTAATAAAAATATGCATTTTGAAATAAAAAGCTATTTGGAATATTATAAAAGCATCCCAGAAATTGATAATGCGCATTATTTACGAACATTTTCCATTTGTGGAAATTTTTACTTAATCATTTAAATTAAATTAAATTTGATTTAGTGACCAGCTACTGTTTTGTTTAATATAACAAATATTTTAATTATCATTTTTTGTTTTGTGAACGTGAACGTGGACAGCATTTTATGAAATTCCAACAACGAAATTATATTATAAAAATTTTATTCAAATAACATAAATAAATATAAAATTTTGTTTATGTTACAAGCAAATATTTGTTCAGTTGTTAGATAAATTGCTGGTTTTAGAGGAGAATTATTATTATTACATTTTTGGGCCCACGTTTGCATAATCAAAATCCTAAAATTAAATAAAAAAATTGATTCCAAATGCAATTTTAAGCTCTTGTGCTGCTGCTGCAATGCATTTTAATTGGCATTTCATTAAAATCTATTATTTATTTTGCGAAATGCATGAGCTATGCATACATTGAATTGCATTAAAATTTGAACAAAATTACATTTTATTAAAATTCTAATTTGCACACGCAATTATACTTGCAAAGTCCTTTAAATTAACATTTTTGAATTTTTATTGCATTTTAAACTGCGCGGCAACGCATTTGTGAATTGCCACTTGTCGCATTACTGCATCCGCGATGCCAAAATCTGTGAATTTAATATAAATGGGATTCAATTGAATTGAGGTCGAAATTTACATAATTTTTAAATGCACAAATTTTGCTATAATTTAATAAAATTATTGAGTGCATGAGTGAGTCAATGCAAATGCTGGACAAATCTCATGCTTCTGGTAAACCAACTGCTCAGGGATCAACGGATATGTTGTGGTTAGTAGTCTATGCTTCAATTACAAACGATTGTAGTGCCATAAACTGGTGACACGGTTGCCACTTATGGTGCTTTAGTACCAAAATTGGTACTTTTTTTTTCGTTTGGTACTCATGTTTAAAAAATAGTACATTTTTGACGACCCAACTTTATTGTGGATATTTTCAAATAATTTTTTTTACAAATCCAACTTTGCACTATTTTATGTTTTGTTCATTTATAACACTATGAAAAACACAGAACTTAAAAATAAAAAGGTCCAAAAAAATTTGGACCTTTTTTTACAGAAATGGTTCCTTTTTACACCAATTTTGGTACAGGAAAAAATTTTCAAGTGGCAACCGTGACTGGTGATTAAATTTGTCACATTTCTGAAGTGCTAATCTCTTCTTAGGAATATAACAATATTTTATTAAAGTAAATTTTATACCAATTCCATAAAACTTAGCATTTTTAATTACATTTCTACAACGTGTCTATAAAATAATGATATAACGAGTCAACGAATTTCAAGAAACAATACATAACAATAAGAGATTGCAATTATGACCGACACTATAACTACTATCTAATCATATTTTGTGTTGTCTAACCATAGAACTAAATAAAATCCATTAAGTGATCGGTGCATAGCATTTCATTCTTCAAATAAAAAATTACGAAAGACTCCGAAAAATCTTAAACATGACAAATTACAAATTATCGATAACGAAAATCGTACGGTCACAGCTAAAACCGTACTGTTAACAGCCCTGACAACAAATGACTAGTTGACAACAATGCCAGAAAATCATTTGAACCGAATGCTGCAGAAGCAATTAAAAAAAAAAAAACAACTGAACACATTCTTTGTAAGTCCTCACGACTGACAAAATTGAGAAGTCTACGAACTAACATAATGGGCCTGAAGGACATACAAAACATAGATCTTCGATAGTTGATTTTACGGTGTCGATTACCGTAAAATAACAGTAATGGTATTGCAATCATTATTATTATCGAACAAAAAAAAAACCAAAGTTAAATTAATGATTTCACATTTCATCAGAATCTGAAATCTCAAGCAGGAGTTTATTACATCTCCACTTTTGGAAGTACGAAATAGATATACTTTTATAGGTACATGAACTGTACGCAAATAGTATTTCACAAACAACAATAAAAAAAAAATCATTATGCATTTAAGCTCATATTTATTATTACAAGCAGTTAACGGATGACCCCTTACATATACATACATATATATATAATCATACAATGTGTTTCTTAAGCTATTTAAGCGATGGATCTTATATATTCCATTCAGTTGGTAATCTATTGAATAAATAATCTATTAAAAGAAATATTCGATGCCTTTAAGTAATTACTTCATTATATAAAGAGCACATTTTAAACCATTTGAGAATTGTAATTTCGTTAGTCTTAAACACAAATTTTTTCATTATAATTCAGTAATAAAAGAAATTTTAACATTCTAAAGAACACAGCACTGTTCAACAAATAATGTTTGAATAGTGCTGAGTTCTATCAATTTGTATATTATTAATATATGAGAAGTTTTCTTCATTTATAAAACTCTGTATGACATAGAAAAAAAAATTGGTATTACGATGCTTTCGAGATGATTTTTTATTCAAGTCTCTATGCGAAATAGTCGATGTTGATACTTTACTTTAGCGCGTCTTATTAATATATTAAACTAGAATTTGTAATAATGCTGAGATTAATAAATACTTTTTTTTTGAGTGATTAATATTTTGTAAAAGCACGGTTAGTATGCATCGTCAACCAACAATATACATATTAATATCGTTATACTTACAGATAATCTTTTTTTAATTTTTGACTAAAAGACAGAAGTTATTAAAAATTTTTAATTAAAAAATTCATGATATATGAAGTTTTTCTCAAACAATACTAAAAATTCAAATCTTTGCACATTTTTTTCAATGCCATCAGTAATACAAGGCTTCATAGGTATCTAATGTGGAACGATTGTGGTTTATAAAATTTAATAAATGCAGCTTTAGTTATGAAAATTTCGATATAGATTTATATTCCCTGAGAAATTCAGCACATAAAAGTTTATAAAAGTTTAAATTTTTAGTAACTATTTTTTTAAGAGTTAATACTCCTTTGACAGTTTGATAGTGATAACATAGGTATATAAAGTTTTTAAGAGTTATTCATAAGGAAAATATATATTTAAATATTTTGCCATTATCATTAACAAATAATAAGTACAATAAAAAAAATAATAATGTAATAATAATAAGTAATTGTTATAAATATAATTAAAATAATAAAATAGTTATTACTTTTAATTACTAATTAATTAGTAAATAATAAGTATATAATTATTGATTTCTTGTGCTATAGGTATACGGATATATTAATGAGATTCAATAATACACCCAAAATTTATAAGACTGTATAGGCACTGTCTCCATAATACAATGCAATACGACTTCAGCTTTAAGTGTTAATTTTTTTAATAACAGTTATTTCCTAAAAGATCACTTAAAGCATAACTTTATACTACACTAAATTCAGTAACCTACAAATAAAAACTAACGTCCATGTCATTATAAAAAATATATGCTTCTCCAACCTCGCACAGATAAAACGCAGCACTAGCGACACCTGCCGCAAAAAATGTGAAGAAATCTAAGCTAAAAGCTTTACATACAAAAACTCACTGATTTGTGTAAAAATATAGCTTTTTAATTAACAAAGTTGTGCTTTTATCTACAATTTCACAGATACATTCGTATCTCAACTATTAAAAGAATAGACAAGTTGCTATTATTCAATACATCTAAATAATAATCTTAGTCGATAGATTGTATAAGTGTTATTAGCGACATTGCAGCTCTCAAAATCTAAAAAACATAAAAATTTTAAAAAAATTTTTAGTTACAGTTAATAGTTTTATTTTAGTTAGAAGTTTAAAATTCAAGTACTTTACCACCATAAAATTTGCTAAAGATGCTTCATAAAAGCCAGCCTTTATTACCACTTCACGTTGAGATCGTAACATTACCAGAAGCAACATTCGACGCGTTTTTGGAGTCAGGAGATACCAGTTAGATAGCTGCACAGAAACTCCAACCATTGAACTCTTTCAAAAAAAAAAAAAATAAAATAATTTATTTCGAAATTGTATAATTCATAAGATAAATACTTCAACTTTAAGTATTTCTCCACCATAGCAATATATGAATAACTGCAAAAGTATGGCCGCAAGAAAGGTGCAATAAACCACTAAAACTAGTAAAGTATCTAAATGCTGAAATAGATTAAATCATTAAATATATTTTATGAAACTACTAAGAATAATACTAACAGTCACTAGTTGATATATAATAACGCATACTTGCACTGATGTTAACAGAAACTGACCAAAAACAATTGGCTTGTAGATTTGTCGCACCTTATTCGATAGATCCAAAAGTAAAACATGGTAATCAATATATTTGCTGATATCATATTGTGCTGCTTTATCTGATCTTCTAAACTTATTTGTTTTAATAAAAAATTGCAACGCTTGAAAATGTGAACGTAGATTTATAGTGAACGATAGAAATAAACCATCAATGGCGCTGGCATACATCACCACTGTCATCGTAACAAAACCAGTGTAGACGTACCCAAACTCATAGCCGGGCGTGGACACAAAATCAAAATTAAATCTAAAACATTGAAAATAAAATCAAATCATATCAAATCAAATTAATTTAATTAATTATTTGAACTTTGACTAAATGCAATAATCAATCAAAATCAAAATTAAAATCGTACATCACCTCATGGGCATCGGTAAATCTCTTATGATGGTTTTATGATTTATTTTAGACCAGATTATCTTCACCAATGGTCCAATCATAAAATACAAACCAGTTGAAGATACCGAAAAGTAATATAATTTCACTAACTTCATTGCTATTTTATTGGCCACAGTCAAGCCGCGTTTGACCTCGCTTACATGCGCTATTAAAATCAAACAAAATATACAAAATATATACAAAATACACAAAAAGCAACAACAAAAAGTTCATAAAATTGGCAATAATTATTTCATTAATTAAATGCATAAGTAAAACTAATTAATGTTAGTCTTTAAATTGTTGGTAGACAGGAAATTAAACTGATTTAGGTCGCCAAACAAAAAAAAAAAATAATTAAATTACAAAGTCTTGACCTGCATAAAATTGCAGATGAAATGGTTCTTATGGACCAGAATGGAAGAGAACTATTTAGTAAAATGTCTCAAATACAATTCTTTTCCTCTTCGAATGCAATAAAAGTGTATGAACAGCTATTTGAATACTTTTAACAACTTAAGACCCAATTTTGATTTAGATGCTTACTTACTATGATGATGATCTTGTAATGTACCTCAAATAACTTAACAATTGTTTTTTTTTTTATTTTTAAATGAAACAATTTAGTTATTTCTTTGAAAGTATACACTTTTAATATACTTCTTAAACTCGTAAAAACATTTTACTTGAAGTTTATTCAACCTTAGCGTTCACTTCTCTCAATCAGAAACAGTGAAAAATATATTTTTGGGATATACCTTCCAATGCTGAATTTTATTACCAACTTCATTAAATACTTGCTTACCAGCGTTGAACATTTCACCAAATTGCTCCATTAGTTCCATGAACCTTTGCTTGTACATCAAAAAAGTTATCATTTTAATCACTGTCAACATATTTGTCAACACAATGCTGAGACTTGCAGTCGCAAGTGTTAAATCATCAATGTTGTAAACCACGTAATTAATCATTGGCCATTGAGCAGATAACACCAAAAGCAGAGAGCCATAATAAATAAAACTATTCCATTTACGTAAAAGCGGTGATTTTTCATCTTCCAACGTGTGACCCATTAACCGCAAACATTTTCTCTGGGTTTCAAATATGTCCTGCATGGCGCCACTTACAATTTCACTTCAGATACAGTACTTAAGAACTGCAGAGCTCATAAAATTACTTCTCCCATATAAAGGCTTTCCCTTTCAAAGAATTTTAGTAGGAAATTCTTCCATTTCTAATTATTTAATTACTTGTCATGTGTTCTGGAAATAGTCATAATTACCATTTGAGTTGACTTTAAGACTGTCATTAAATAATAATTGCAGGATATTATCAATGTTTTGATTGGCCGTCGACATTTTAATTATTTTAATAATGTAATTAAATGAATGGTTATAAAACTGTTAAAGTACAAAAAGTGTATAATAAAATTTTACAGATTTCATAAAAATATAAATTTTTATATCTTATTTGAGTAAAGTTTCTTGCTATAAGAAATATTTAATTGTCATTATGTTTAATGCATTCAAATTAACAGAAAATTCAGAAATATTAAAATTAAATAATATATTAATTTATAATAGCATTTTAATTCATGTAATGAATATTAAATCAAGTGATAAATGTTTAATTAACTTATATATCTTATCTGTTATGCACTTCCGCAGAAATCAATCAAAAATTTACATAAACACAACATTTTATGAACATTTAAATAATTTAAAATCTGTGAGTTCATAGATAAAATCTTTAAAGTGTCTGTATATAGATTATGTTGATATATTCATATGAGTCAACTATATAAAACGATTAAATAATTTATTGAACTCTTTAATGTAATGTGCAGTGATCTAATCGAAAGCTTCATCAACTAAGACATGTCTTTTCTTTGATATAATATTAATAAAAATGATTTAGTTAATTAATAAAATTAGAGCTACTATAAAGTTTCAATAAAATAACTGAGGAATAAATTTATGCGGAGAAGATGAGAGTAATATAAGACAATACAATAAATAGCCAACAACTAGCAAAATCGGATCATATAAATATTAACCGGGTAGATGTATGCATAATTATAATATACCATATAGATTTATATACACACATAAATATTATATATGCACATATAATGTATGTCACATTATTGTTGTATGCCCGATTTTCAAAGAACATAAAAGTACTTTTTTTGATAAAGCATTTCTGTCCGAAGTTGAAGTTAAGGTCTTATTAAAGAATAGCAATACGTGTGAAAACTGTTTTAAGTTATAGAAGATTAAATATTGAAGGATAGAATTATAGAATTAATAATACTAATAATATGCAGACCTATTTGTATGCTAATTAGACACACTAATACGGAATTTAAGTAAAATTTTTTGTAAGTGCTGTCCAAAATAATAAATTATAAAAATAATTATGACGAGATAATACTTGTTAAGACAGTAGGTATTGTATAATAACTCTATACTAGTCTTAGACAGATCATTTGTTCTCTTATATGGATTTAAGACTACCAACTGTTGTCATTATAAGAACATTAAAATATTATTTTTTAAGATATTATGAGAATAGTCTTTAGTGCGAATATTATTCTCTATGTCGCTGACTCGAACACATCACGAGTTATTGAAAATTCGTACTATTTCGTAGAGACTGTAATTTACTGACCGTGGACTTGGACGTTTACCAGCCAACTTAGCTGCTGTATATTAAAGAAAAACGCAGAATAAGCTTATAGAAGAGGGATTAGATCAAGAAACAGCATTAGGCTATACACAGTTAAGAAGCAATCCACTCTTTAGTTTGTTTCTATAAAAAAATTGTACCCATGTATTTTTAATTATTGCTATAGTTAGTAAAAGTTTTCTGAGTATTGAGCTTTGATAGTCCTTACGACATTGTCTGATGACCACAATGGATCTAGCTTAATTTTTGTTTTTAATTTTCTGAAGTAGACTGCTATTATTCTGCAATTCAAACATAGAAAATGCTAAAGTATCACTTGTACATATTTACATAATATTGGAACAGAAGAGAACTTTGAGGGACGTGAGAATTATAAATCGATGGAAACAAAAAAGTAACAATACTTCTGCTCTCAATAATAATTTCTTTTATCTATATTAAACACTAAAAATAATCTTATCGGTAATAAAGAAAAGGCTATTTTGCTTTGCAAAAGAGTATACCGATTCATGCCAAAAGTAGGTGGTGCTTCCCGAGTTCGTTTGGCTTCAGTTTACAAATGTGTGACGTTTTGTTGTATATCCGAATACTTCATAGTTTGAGACGATGTTGTGGTAATGCTGGCTGTATATAAGCTGATGGGTCTGAAAGCATTTCTAGTCGGGGGATATTTCTTCCTGCGTTTACGTACACAGAATGCTAAAAATGTGTAATCTTTGTCAGTTTCTTACCAGTGCTTATAATATAAGTGCCATAATAAATTGCAATATTGATGGGATCGCCTACAAAAGTCAGGCTAATATCATTCGCTAATTTCAAATATAAAAGTTTGGATTCTTCAAGCAGATGGTGACTAGGAATTTTAACTGACGCTGTACATTAGGTAATATGAATGCTTCGTGCAGACTTTTACCGCACCTTTTAATTAATTCCAGCTGCTTAATCTGTCGAAATAAAATTTAGAATTTAGAACATTATTTTAAACTCACAAATTTAATCTGGTTATATTGATTTTGTCTACTATGTACTAGTAGCAAAATAATAACAAGAATTATTTACGGAATAAAATTAAAAACAGATATCGACTTTAAAACCCCTCTTCGGCTTTAGGAAAAAACCGATGTCTGTTTCATGTTTGTTCTTATCAAAAAAATATGACAATTTACGAATTGTGATTTAATGGAGCTTCTGAAATAGCTAGCACCCTTTATTTATTCGTTTTGGTGAAATATAATACTTCACATAATTTTTATTATAGAACCCGTTGTTTGTATAAAGTATAGCGGAAGGGATCTTGGCAAATCTTCCCTCAGTCGCTTAAATTCTTTTAAGAATATATTGGGATGAGCATCTTTTTTATTGAATAGTGAAAGTGCTCTAACCGTTATCTACTTGGTGATGGTTTCAATATCTCTGCTAATATTAGAGTTTCTAACTTATCACCGTGGTTTTAGCTTGATTATTAAAACCATCACAACCATTCAACAAAGATAGTCCAATGAATTACTTAAAGGTGAGGATTCTAATTAAACCAGTGCATCTTTTTGCTTTTGAAAGGAAGTTGACGCAAATTCAGAGTTTGTATATATATTGCCTTTTTTCATAAATCGTGTGTGCGTATTTGATAACTCCATAATAATATTTGATTTTAGCAACAGAAAGCTATTAAAAGCTATTACTTATTGGCTGCTGTGTTTAATCTATAGTTCCGTTTTTATCTCGAAAAGGATGTACCCTTTCGTTCTTTAAGTTACACTTAAAGTAACAAATTTCATCTATATTAATTTCATATGCTTCTGCCATATTGACGACATTATGTTAGGATAGTGCGTCATAAATTTAGAGTTAAATGTATTTTAATGGGTCAATGTGTCTTGTTTCATTTTTGTATATTTTATTTTATTTTTTTATGTTTTAATTTATTATATTTTATTTTATTACTAATTATTTTATAAATTTTATTTTATATATTTTACTTTATTTTTATTATTTAATATATTTATTTAATTTATTTATATATTATATTTTAATTATATTAATATTTATTTTATATTTTTTTTTTTGTTTTTATTATATTATATATTAATATTACTTATTTTATTCATTTTATTTTATATATTTTACTTTATTTTATTTTATAATATTTTATTTCATTTTTATTACATAATTTACTATTTATTTTCTTCCTATTTCTTAAATTATTATATTTTATCTTATAATTTATATTAATTAATTTTATTACTTTAATTCAAAAATTTTTAAATTTTATTGAATAACATTTAATATCAAATTGTTGTTATTGTGCAAGTTTATACAATTAAAAATTATTAATTAATTTATTAATTTTTTATTTAACAAACATTCACTAGCAGTCATTAAGGGAAGTAAATAGTAGTTTCAAATAAAGAAAAAAAGCTATAATTTTGAATTTCAATGAAAGGAAAATAATAATAAAGCAACAAACCTAATGGCTAACACGAATGTGATGTTTGCAAAAAAAAGTTTATGGGTCAGTGGTGCCGTGATAAATCAGAAAGTTAACCAAATTAACCTTTCGTCATGATATTTATTAACAGGTACAAAAAACCGAGTAAATACCGACCACGGGGTGTAACAATTCGAATTTACCAACACAGCCAACGGGCCAATGAGATGCGAAATCTAATCAATTTTGATTAAAAAAATTGCAAAAAATAACGAGAAAAGTAAAACAAAATAAATAAATACGTTAACATATTTGATTAATGTTAACAATTTGATGAAATGTTCAATGATTTCGGACTGGACTGGACTGGACTGGACTCATGAAGTAACAAAGTAACAAAGTAACAAAGATCATAGGTGGGAGATAACAGCAAAAAGACGAACAATTCAGTTAATGAGCAAAAAATCCAAATTTCCTTTTAAGCAATTCATAACAATGAATAAGTAAAAAAGCCATTACATTTCTTTTTTTCAAAATTAAACTAATAGTTTTATTAACGATTTCACTAGCAATAAAATTTACAAAACAAAAACTCAACAATCTTTGTGTTTAACACACAAAGTGAAAAAAGCAATAACAACGACTACTTCAAGTTCTTAGAAATTTGGTGGTAAGTATGCATTGCTTGAGTGTGATCCCGTAGCGACGCCATGAGCACCACCAAACGATCCACTGGATACGACACCTGTAGCAACACCACCATGACCAGCAACACCAGCGCCAGCGGCACCAGCGTCACCACCCAAGGAACCAATGACTGAGGTAACTGGAGCAACACCTTCATCTGTGACTTGACTGCTGCCTCCCAAAGCATCATACTGAGCTTGGATTTGTTGTTGAGCATGAGCAGCTTCTTCGGCAGTCTTGTATTTAATGAAGAATACTTCAGGTTTGCTGGTTGGGCTGGCGTGTTCAATAACTTCAGCTTGGATATCGGAGGAGTCAGCTTTCTTGTTAAGCACATAAATGACAGTCTTTTCTTCATTAACAGCTGGGCTGATCTTGATGGCAGTCTTCTTGTGTGCCTTTTGTGGCGCCTTGATGAACACAACATTGTAGTTCTTCTTGGGTACACCGACGGTGATGTGTTGTTCTTTGTACTCATCTTCACCATCTTCAGGTGCGGAGTGAATGTAGAAGCGTTTCGACACAACAGCTTGTTGTTGTTGTTGTTGATGATGTTGTTGTTGGTGATGTGATACGCCTACATTACTTGAACCCTGACTGAAGAAAGCTTGTTGGCCACCGGTGGCGCCTTGAAAGAAACCTGCTGAACCACTTGATGAAGGTGCAACATAATTGCCACCGAAACCTGTGGTCTGTTGCACAGCACCTGTTGGATTGTAGTTATAACCTTGTGGTGCAGCGAAAGCTACGGCAGTCAAACACAAAACCTATAAAAATTTAAAAAAAAGAGTTAATCCTTTTGCGCTCATCCGAGTTGCTATGTTATAGCGTATCCTTACAATGAATCCACGCATTTCTTTGCTTATTTTGAATGTAGTGTGCACGAAGGGCTGTTCTGTTAGTTACTTGATTGAGTGTTTCTGTTGTACTGTTGAATTGTGGAACTGTTCACATCTTTTATACCAAAAACTTAAATTTTACGACAATTGTAAATATCAGTGTGGTTACCGTTTGCTTATTTGTTTTAGCGCTCTTTGCTGTGGTTTCGTCTTCTCCACCATTCCTCAAATAGCTATTTTTTATCTTCAATTTTTGGCTATTTTACGCTTCTGGCTGCAAGCACTATTTTCGTCGAAGCACTGCAGTAGTCTTCGGCTATAGACGAGATCAGCTGATTAATGGTTAATTACTTTTGTTGTTGTTACTTTGTGTCGATTCGTTGGAAGAGGTCCAGTCTGTGTATTAAGCCCGTGACCATTTGAACTATAAATTCACATAGTTAATCCAATGCAAACACTGCATGATTTCATTACCAACATAAATTTCTGTTGCGTTGGCTGGACTCAAATTTTCAATTTTGTAGTGCTACTCTGCTGCTTCTTCAAAAAAAAAGTGCTTTTTGTTTGTGAAGGTAAAAAGTGATATTTTCTATAAAACAAGAAAAACAGCAGCGAACATTGAAGATTGATTTCAACGAGTATATTTATTTTAAGAAAATAAATAACTAATATAACAAAAAAATTCAACTGAAATTTATGAATGAAGTCATCAATTGGATAAGGTTTTTTTTCCAGTAAAACATTATTATTATTTTCACAATGTTTAATTTTTTATATCAGTATGATGTAGACTAAGCCGCTGGCAGTAGCTACATTAAAATAAAGTCATATTTGTTAATGTATTTTCTGAAGAGGTTTCAAAAAGTAGTGAACTACAACAACAAAAATTCATTTGCATTATTTTTAATTAATTGAATTTTTGGCTGACTATACAGCTGACAAATACCCATCATCAGTGGTCTTAGAAATATTTCTTGTATTTAATTATTTGTAAATAATTTTTTGTGTTTTCTGAGAATGTTTTCGACCTGGAAAACCAACTACAGTGACAAGGCTCGATTAGTGACTTAACAAGTGACATCTCTAGGTAAATCTAGATACGCTTTGCCAATTCTTGCTACACCAATTTCAAGAAGCAAATCTTTTTATTGTTTTCCTGAGATTCTAATCATTGTATCTATTTTATTAACTAATTTCTATAGATGAGCTGATACGTACCCCATATCAACACACAGCAGTCCTTGTTTTCTTGCTGTCATGTGAAGTTCATTTGTAAAAAATTTTGAAATAAAAGAGAAAACCATTCTATTAAGTATTAAGGGATCCGAAATTTTATAGAAGAAATTCGACCCTCTTATTTGCTCCCGTATAAACCACTGCCTTGTAGCACTAAAGTTATAAGATAGTAACATAGAACTGAATCTAAGTCGTGAAAATTTATACTTAATTAAGAATTTTATGCTTACTTCCCGATGAATGTAGTTGATGTTATTATCAAATGACTAAAGGCTGGTGCTGCAATGCTACCATATTTTTCAGTTGCAAGTATATTTCTTATCAGTATACATAATTCTTTCCTATAACAGCCGTAATTTTTTCTTTCAGAGTTGTGAAAACACAGCATTCAGTCTGGTTGAAATAAATTGGCATCACTTTTGAATATGTTAAATGCTTCTTTTTTCATAGAATTAGTAAATACTAATAATTAATAATTTTAATTATAAAATAACATACAAAATGAATGTTAGAACGAATGTCAATTTACCATATGTATTTAAATTTATTAGCAAATGAAATGCTTTTAACGAATGACTGGAATTTTGCTCCATATTATCAGTGAACATGCACAATAGACTGATTCTTGAATTTGGCTGCACTAAAACTTGAGACGTAAATATTTTTTCAAATAAAACCTAACTCAGAAGATTTTAAGATCATTGTTGTTGTTTCACATGTTTTCTTTCATTAGTTGCGAGTATTTTTTTGCTACTCTGAAAGAAAAAAGTACGGCAAATATAATCTTCCCTATTACAAACTTCAGCGTTTGATAAAATAGTGCTGACTCTAGGGTACTCTTATCGCACCATTGATTTTGTTGAAGAGGACCCTGAGAACTAATGGCTTCTGCAGCACAAGTATATAAGTAGTGTAAATACGGCTTACTTTTCCTTAGCTTGTACAGAACTTTTTAATCAACTACAGAATAATTCAGCGAAGCTTTCGAATTTTTTTGGGGACGTGATGTAGTGATGCAGTTGTTTACATATTGACGACATAGAGTCACTCTCGTTCCTTAGATCTAACAAAGTAGTCCATTGTGCTGATAAAATTTTTTTTTGCGATTAATAAGAACAGGCGTCTTATTAATGGATATTCTAAGTGAATATTCTAAGTGAAAAAAAAAATATAGACGCATTTCCTATCTATATACGAGTAACACTGTATTAAATATATGCTTAAGTACTGATTTTAATTAATAGAAAACTTATAGAATTCAAATAGTAAAAAATTTAAAGGGTGAACTTTAATTTTTTTTTTGAAACAGTATACATTGACATAATCAACTAAGAAAAATTATGAGAGCATATAATAAATTTAAATTTAAATTTATGAAAATGCTGATAAATACCGATGATAACCACACTGAATTTTGTATTTAATTTTCTTTTAATTATATAATGTTGCAATATTTCATTTCTAAAATTAAAAATAAATAAATGATTGCATTAGAAATAATGATGAAATCTAATCAAACTAACTCCAAGTTTTATCTTTTGCAACTGAGTTGTGTCGAAATCTTAAATTTATATTTCAGCTTCGAATAAAATGTATCTTTTATAACTTGCTGAAAAATTTGTTTTTGAAAAAATAATTTTTTTCGGGAAGTATTAACAAATATATATAAATAATAATAATAAAGCATTATAGAAAATGTTTAAAACTTTAATATTTTTACTTAATATCTAAAATATTTCTCAAAGAAATTTGCAGTTGATTTCGAAACAAAATCTATTTCATATCAAAGTAATCGTTTGTATCTTTACGTGTGTTATATTGATATTAAATTTTGATTTATAAATATTAAACTTACGATTTATATGACTAATGTAAATCGTTAATATAAAATCGTTTATATATTGGACGACTTCATATAAAGTTTATATATATACTCGCATTTTAAGTACAATATGAACATTTTCATAATAGCCACACAAAATATCTTAACAATTCATTTAAGTATATAAGAAAAAAAGTTAAAAAAACTATAAAATACAGTGAAAACTCTTGTCAGTGCATACTTCTAACAAAAGGACGTCTAAAATAATGATATAAAAAAATTGTTGGATTAGCAAATTGTGCACCCATGAGGTGAGTTTATTCAACAGCCACATCTAATAAGAAAGTTTTTACTGTAAATGTAAATATACTCAAAGTATTTCAAAAATTTTAATATCTTGATAGTAATACTATAAATATTGTATCTGACGTAGATATAAATTAGATATAAGAAATAAATCGAATTTACAATTAAAGAAATTTCATTACTTTATAAAAAGTGCATACTCAGATAATTTACAGCCTCAATAAATATGTTTGAGATAGAAATTGACTTATACAAGCTTTTTGTCAAAGGCTTTTAAAACTAATATCAATTAAACTTATTTTATGTGAAAAAACATTTTGCATTAAATTTGTTATGATTTTTGCTAACAGATTTTAATATTATATTATATATGAGAGATATATGAGTGATATATGAGTACATGTATGTGTGTATATCGTGACATATTATTAACTGCTTGACCAAGTGCTCTACTGGACCGGATAGGCAACAATTGATTTCAGTTCACTGCTAATTAAATTTTTATGTAAACTGAATAAAAGTTGTGATTTCAATTAATTAAAAATTGTAAATCCATTGAGTGATATACTTAAAAACATAGAAAATTAGATACTATAATCGCATTCGCATTAAGTATATTTATATTGTATTAAATATATATTGCTATCATCAGATTGAAAAGTATTGTTTTTACCTGTTTAATGCACACTGGAATAAGCTACGTTTAAGAAGTAGTAAATACAAATCAAAAAAAAAAAAAACAAGAAGAAAAAAACACTAAAATAAAACTATTATAAAATAGTTACGTATTTGCTGTAAAACGTACCAAAGTAAAAATTTTAATTACTTTGGCTGCCGAACACCTCGAAGATGAACATTTCACAACATCAAATTTTCAGCGTCTTTTCTAGTACCTACCGAGCATACCTTCTTCGCTTTCGATTATTTGTAAATGTTGCTTGCACAGTTTCACAGAAAGCCAAAAATATACTCTGAAGCCCTAATCATTTGTGCGGATGACTAGACAACCAACGCAGCGCCACATTATAGAAACCTCATAGACCAACTTTTCTCTGTATGTTTCTTATGTCTACTTTGTATCTATATTTTTTTTTCTTAATTTTTTTTTTTAACTTCGTTAATGATTTGCAAATTGTGGACAACATTGCGTGTCACAACTCAAACCAATTTTGATGTATATTTTAATTAATAACAATGGTTTTACTGTGAAAATAATAGTCATTATACCAAAAAAAAAAACGAAAACTCTAAAGGAAAACGCACTTCATAAGCGTCACTTCTGTATCTGCATTAAAAGGGCTTAAGTATGACCTACGGCAAGGTAGTTCCCCATATTACCTTAAAGACGAACGTCATTAAAAATGTAACTATAATAGCGTAACAACGACAAAATAGTGAGATATGCTGCATCAGCTTGAGGTTTAAGGCAAGGAGCTTAAAGTTGGGAAGATGCAAGAAAACACAATTGACGATAAACCTTTTTGACACAGTAATTGTAATTCCAATTCGTGGAAATATCCATTAAGTTAATTTTGTGAATCTCACTTTTTTTGAAAAATTTGCAAATAATTATAATTATTTAAACATCAATGAAACGGTCAAATTTTGAGTTCATTTGGTCACCATTTACACAATTTGCTTTATATACTTT